ATAATTGTTTAAACAAATGATATTATTTTGCGAATGGTAAAGAGACAAGTCAAAGGAGGGTTCACATTTTGATATCAAAAATAAAAAAGCAAAGACGAATTTGTAAATAATCAGAGGTAAATTGAGTATGAGCCTGTTGTTCAAGTCCTTTCTACTACAGGGTTAACAATCTCAATACACTATAAACAACTAAAAAAATGTATTAATAACTAACAAAATTGAAGAGAACGAAAATAGACTATATATAGAAGTAATTAACATATTTGGATGTAAAGTTACAGACTTATCACGGGTTGTTTCAGGAACTCTTCAATACTTTAAAAAGGATTTCTTAACAGCCAGTCACTGAATGATTTTATAAATATGCTTTGTTGATACTTATTTAATTATTATTATTATTATTATTAATAATTATTTAATTATTATTACTCTTGAACAGCTTCAAAAAGCAAATAAAAAAAATCCTCTTGGCCAAGAGTTAGAGATTGTGTCGCTGATGGGTTTAGTTAGTTAGTTTTTTTGTTGAAAGGAGTATAATTGGTATAGTTTTATTGAAGCACCATTGTCTATTGTTTATTTTTATAGTTCTAAGCTATTAATTGACATGACCAATGCAAAATTTGTATTTATTAATTTGGTTCAATAAATGAGTTATGAGTTATTTACATTATTAACTACCTTATTATAAACTTTCTTACGCATAACAACATTACTATTTAAAGATTTGCTCAAACGGAGATGCTGGTAACTTATTTAATGTCTACGAGTATTGTAGGGATGTACATCTTCATTAATGACCATGACGGGTAGTTTTTTTAAGAATAAATAACAAGAATAAATAAGTTCTAAAATATAAATGTTAATAACAGTAAAAATCTTTAATTTAATAAAAATAGTCTTACAATGTTCAAGGTCAGCTGAACCATCAATAATTCTAACTGTTTTATGTAATATTAACTAACACTTCTTCAACTCTTGAACAATAGCCCCAGACAAGCAATCAGTACTTAATTATTGATTGAAAAAAAAAAAAATAAGCTAATAGGATATTCTGGAGTTACAAAGAGTTTCAAACGCCCCGACAAGAAAACAACTCTAGAAAGTCTAGTAGTCACACGATCAATATGAGTATTCCAAGTAAGCTGTTGGTCAACAGATACACCTAAAAACTTAGTACTAACAGCTGTTTCTATAGCTAAAGATTCATGGTCGTCAGGCCTCAAAGAGAATACTATATTTTCAGTTTTATTTTTATTTAAGAGGTAGCCATTAGCTCTAAACCAAGATGAAGCTTCTTATACAGAGTTATTTACCAAATTATTTAAATGCAGCAAGTTACTGGAAGTGTTAACAAATGTCGTGTCATCAGCGTAAAGAAGGGTTCTACATTGCACATTATGAGGTAAATCATTAATACCAATTTAAAATAACAAAGGACCCAAAACAGATCCTTGGAGAACCCCATATCTCAAGTAAACCTCGTGAGACTGAACACCATCAATATACACAACTTGTCTCCTATCCTTTAGGTAAGGTTCAAAACGTTGCAATGCAGCACTCCGGATGCCATAGAAGTGCAATTTTGAAAGAAGGTCTGAGTGATCAAAACAATCGAAGGCCTCACTCAAGGCACAGAAGGTAACTTGAGCATAGGACCTCGCCTCAAAAACCTGCAAGATTTGGGAAATGAGATCGTCCATGGCATCCTGGGTAGTCCTGCCCCTTCTAAAGCCAAACTGAGAACTGTACAAAATGTAATTTTCCTCTAAAAACAAGATGATCTGATTGTAAACTATTGGTTCTATAATTTTTGACAGCACAGGGACAAGAGACTCAGGAAGAGTGCTGGCTATCTTTAGACACCTTCTTATAAACAGGACAAACCCTAGAAACTTTAATTCATCTGGAAAGTGTCCTTCTAGTAATACTATTGATGCAAACTACAAAAAGGGTAACAATACTTGGAATTATTTGCTTTAAAACATTATTTGACATTCTAAAGAATGTGTAAAGCAAACAGTCAATGCAAACAGTCAATATGTAATGCAAATTGGGAGAAAAGCAGAGCAATACTTCAAATGGACAGTAAACTACAGTTCTACGAGAAAAAAGACTCAACAAGCAATTGATAACATAAATAAACTAATTAAAATTAAAAATTAACATAGGCAGCGAATAAAGATATAGTTGACATTAACGATAACAAGGGTAAAAACACTTACGTCATCCTAGCAATAACGCCAATAACCAAAACTAAGAATGTAACATTAGACAATAGGAACTTACTACAGACAGTGAATAATAGAAAATATTAATATATAAATTAATAACCAACAAGAAATGAGAATAACAACATTAATTACGGACAGTGAATAACATAATATAAGTATGAAAATTAATAACCAACAAGAAATGCGAAATAACAACAATAGTGCTATGATAACAGAATGAAAAATATCATATGCTGAGCAAAAACAAGAACTACTTAGCAAATGTTCCCTTTTTGTTTTCCTTACTAACTACACTTTTAACCTTTTGCGGTCCATTAATGGTACCACCAGAATGAAAACTTTCACATAGCTTCACTTAGCACAACGCCAACCCTCCTTCTGAAAGAAGCAGTTGAACCGGAGAAAAAGTCGATTTGGGCAGCAATTTGACTCCGCATTCGGTGCAATCTGGACAGGCCACTGTAGTAGGCAAAAAGTATTGCCTGCGAGCGTCGCTGGAAAGGGGTTCTGGGGCGTGTTCCTCTAGGTCAATCAAGATCAATATTCCGCAGAAGTTCAGGGCAGTCGATAAGGGAATTGATCAGTTTGAATAGGAAAACCGCGCCAAAGATCATACTTATATGTATCAGTCTTATATGTAATGGTTGGATTTGTAGCTGCACCTCAAGCTCACTGATAGGTGTGCCCAAATACCTGAAGCCAAGCCTAGGTCCAAGCATTCTAATGAAGGGATCTTGTGTTCTTGCAAGCATTCGGATGTGACAAATCTGAAATGGAGACCATATGACAGAACCAAATTCCAAGATGGGGCGAACCAACGACTTGTACAGGATCACATGTGTAATTGGTGACTTGACGTTTCTCGTGTACTATATGAATCCTGAGAGCAATTGAGCCCTAGCCGTTATATGATCCAGTGCTGGGATGGGATAAGATTAGGAGTCATAATAATGCCCAAATCTTTCACTCTGTCTACTTTAGATAGTTTGATACTATTTAAACTGTAGTCAAAGTTGAGGATCCTGGTCCCACTTTGAACGAAATAACATGACATTGTGCAGTATTCAAATGCATGCCGCTATTCATGCACCAGTCACCAATGCTATTTAGAGATCTCTCATCTCTGAAGACAATCTTGATCCAACTCAGATCGAACCTCCACAAAAATCTTCAGGTCGTCAGCAGACAAAAAAGGAAACTGCAGTGAACAATCTTGCTAATATCGTAAACGAATAGGCTAAAAAGAATATGTACCAAATATGAACCTTGCGGTTGCGGCTAACACAATCTAGTGTTTCTATCATCACTATGCCTTCAATTCAATCAGGATTTCGCCCAAGGAAGAGGATGTTGTGAGTGCATTGGTTAAGTCTAATGAAAACCTTTTACCTTCATTTTAACTCCCCTTAGTATTAAAACGTCCTAAGGACCTAAAGGTGGTGATTATAGACTACTCATACAATGCTGAAACAGAGTAAAAACGGGAACTTCGATACGGAATATTTAGCTGATAAAAGACTATAGTAACTTAGAATTTCAGTTTGGACAGTTGGACATCAATTGCTGAAGAGTCCCAAAGAACGAATGACAACAAAGAGAGTTGTTCATATACTAACAGATCAAAGATCAATCAATATAACGTCCTCTGACCCAAAACAGGCTTTGAGCTTAGGCTCTTGTTGATGAAAGTGTCAGCTACTTCACACATTATAATGTATTACAAACAAAGCAGAAGGCTTTTCCCCCATGAGTTGAAATTGCCTTTGATTTTCGCCAGGTATAAATAACAATGTTGATTTCAATTTTTATTCACGAGCGAAGGTTGTGCATCAATGTGAACTACACGTTAGCAGGTTAGCGGGTTGAGGCAGTTAGCCAGTGCCAGTGCCCACAGGCGACATAGACAATCGATAGGTTAGACAACAAACAGCACACACACAGAGATGTTCGTGCCTACATGGCGGGTTCGCCACTCGCTTGATCGTCTAATCACACTCTTGTTGGATTTCTTTATATATCGCTCAACAGTCAGTTCGATTGTAACTTTTATTAAACGTTACACCGACCTCGTTTACATGACAGACGTGTTGAAAGCGTATTACGTGATGAGTGGTGTGACAAAAGAAAAGGGAGGGGGTAAGGGGTAGGAAGGTGAGAGAGGGATAAAGAGAGAACCAGCGTCAGTGAGGGTAGGGATAGAAAGAGAGAGAGCTGTCACAGCAAAACAAGACTGTTTTCTATTACACGATTTATTGCTCTTCCAAAATAATATAGGAACATTCCGACAGGAAAGACCACACAGGACGTCCGAAACACGTCGAAGGAAGGAGAGGATTGGTGGAGCTTGGGCCCCGCCCCCTACAAGTCATGGGATTGGTCATGACACAAGCCCCGCCTCTCCCCCCACCTCTGGGCGCTCCCACGAGCACGGCTGGCGCACTAGTAACCGTCCGAACGTCGAAGCGTACGCCGTCGATGGATTAGAAAGTCGGCTTTCCACATTTTCAGTTTAGATTTTAAGCCCCGCCCATTTCACCGCCGTGATTCACGAATATTCGTACGAATCTGTCGATCGTTAAAAGAGTGTCATCGTGGTTAAGCGAAATATCATTTCAATATCGGAACTATCGGGTATGACCGCGAGACAGATGTGATCGCGCCGGAGCGCCCGGGCTCCCAGGAACTGTAACGATAGTTTGAGACCTCGGTAGAGTACCACTCGGAGATGATTTGACGGTGTGGGAGACGAGAGGTGTCGGTTGTTCAGGGATGATCGGACGGTCAGAGGTGATGGTCTATCGGTGCGACTCGGACACGGCGTCGACCTCGTGTTCCGCCTCAGCCGAGGACGACGATGAGGTGCTCAGCGTCGGCTGTGAGAGTCCGCCCCCGCGGGTCACGGAGCCGAGGGTTCCTACCCTCAAGTTTAGCATAGACAACATCCTCAGGCCGGAGTTCGGTGGCGGCAAAGACTCAAAGTGTTCACCCATAGACTTGTCCAAAGAAGGGCGAACGGAAGCTCAAAACCCCAACCCGGCGGCTGCAGACTCTCAACAACCTCTCCTGTGGCCGGCATGGGTCTACTGCACCCGCTACTCGGACAGACCTTCCTCTGGTGAGTGTTGAGAAATACCTATCTACCGTACATGTAGCGATACAACCATATTGAGCTGTTCGGAGACATATCTGAGGCCGAACAGCGTAGCAGTTACCAATCTATCTGGGGATACTGGGGATCTGGGGTAGTAGAAGAGTGTCTCTTGTAAAACACAGTTAGGATCAAATGTGTTACAACAATATATTCATATGTATATTTTCCTAAATGACTACGGGTAAATTAGTGAAAATAGTAGTAGGAGGAGTATGTCTAAATACCTATTATAAGTTACCTATTATAAATGATCAGAAAATACATTATATACCACTTTGTTGGTGTAGCATGATAAGAAACGCAGTTTTTACGTTATTGCACGCGATTTTACTAAATTACCTAGGTGAACAGGTGCCAAACATTTTTTTTTATCAGAGGACCCGATATAATTTGTCTACATTTTTATGAGTTATACCAAAGTTTAGAAAGCGTAATGAAAATACTGATTTTATAGTTCCAGTAGTTTTCATTTAATTTTAGAAAATTAAGTAAAGCTGGTCACGTTTATTGATTAATTAAAGCAAACATTTATTTATAATCGATAACATGTATCTTAATATTTAAGACGAATAGCTCAATTTCTAAATAAATTTAATAAATACATTTATGTATATTTAGTATTGGAAGAACATACAAAATTTATTATACGTTACGTCAAGATTTGTCCTAGTATGCTAGAATGCTAGTATTGTCCTACTATGTCCTAAATATGCTATTCATATTAAAATGATCTAATAAAATCCATACATCTATAGTCAACCATTTAACTGTGATTGGAAATAGTGTATAACATAAACTGTTTTTCTTTTGATAAAAAACCAAACATATTATACTAGACCCGTGTATTAAGAATATTCGTACTACCGTTTAGTAATAATATTAATTAATTAAGCAGTAGTATGTAATAAGTTTGTATTATATAATCCGTAATCTGTAAATTATAATCTACAATCTATAATCTATAATCACGGACGACGGTCGCCTCGCCGCCGCCGGCCGCGTTGCAAAACATCTGTAAACACGTTTAGAGAAGACTATAATTAAATAATAACCGTGTACGAAGCAAATATTCAGCTATTTACTATATATTTTGGAAATCAATTTTCACTCTCATTACAATTTTATGATTTTATGTTAAAATTTAAATATAGCTTGTGATATTATGTTAAGTGATCGATTCTCCATTTCTAAACGTAAAAATAATGTTACCTACTTTGTTGGAGATTTATTTTGCAACCATAATTTTTCTTTTTATTAAAATTTCTACATTACAGTATCTATATTCATTAGCAACAAGCTATGATATTGATTTATAGGCAAGGTTATATTGTAAACGCTAATTCGCAAATTCGAATATTTACTAAATTATGAATCCAGAGAACCAACCAAATTGAAGGGTGTTCATATTTCACAAATCGAAGAATGTAGCAAATCAATTTCATCTTTCTGATTCTTATTTTATTCATAAGTTAATCGGACTTTTTTTTTTTTAATCCCAAAACTAAGCTATAAAAAATATCTTTTTTAATTGTGTTCATGCATCGAATTAATAAAAAAACACTATATTTGGAAATACAATAATCAAATGAAATATACGTGGAATAAAGTTTAGGGTGTTCCAATGTTGAAACGTTCCCTAAAACTGTCAATGTAAATACACTAGCATAGTGTCTAGTATTTATTGTAAATACGAGATTTTTTAGTTCATTTGTTAGAACAGTTATTGACGTAGCCAATGCAATGTTTTTTTGACTTAGTAAAGGACTTACGGCATGGAGGAAATTGATTTGTTGTTATCCATAATCCTTGGAAATATCGGCAAATTATAGAAATGTTCTCTTATAATATATAAACACGGTTATCCAATCTTGCTTTAGCTATCTTACAAAAAAAGCTAACAATATATTAAATAGAATAAAGTAGTTTTTTTGTAATTTAATCACAACATTTTTTCTAGTTTTTTGTTGTTTTCTGATTTGTTTCCGTTACACAAAAGTCTTGTATGCAGCTTGAAATAAAGTGTAATATCTTTCCAATTTAATTGGATGTTTTGTTTGAAATTTTGACTATATTTACTTTGATTGGACTAACCAACCGAAAGAATTCATTACTGCTACTGGATCCCAGATTACTTTGTTTTTTATACCAAGAGAAGGACCAATTTGATCTTAGAAGAAACAGCTGGTCGGGACAAATGACATTTTAAATGCCGAGGCGGGACACTTCTAGCATGTGTTAGGGAAGTAGTCCTTGTTATAAGGGTACTCTTGTGGGGGCGTTTAATGATGGGATAAATTATGTTACCATGTGTGAGTGAAGCTGTGAAATATTAGGCAATACATTGAAGGCTAAAATAAACATATAGTTTTATCAGTATACAGATTGTATTTACAACACTGGGAATAATACGGAGATATTTAAATTTATAACTCAAAACACGATAAATTATATATTTAATTTATTTGTTACATCACGGCAAAACAATAATTACATAAAAATAGAAACAATCAGATGACAAGGCATAACTAACAAAACATAACGAAACAAAACTATCAGCTAAGAATAATAATATTAAATACTAATGTTACAATATTGTGTAAAATGTAATATATTCAATGAATAAACACGTATAGCGTAATTCGTTCTACAACTTTATCTAATGAAAATGAAAAATTGAGTATTATTTTATTATGACTATGAACTAATTTACTATTACCAACTAACTACTGAACCATTAAAATACATTAACCGTTGGTCGTACACCAATAAACCAAGCCATCTATGCGAACTATTTATTCACATTTTTATGTAACATATAATGCAAATATGTTTCCTGGAAGGCTAAAATCTTGAGACAGTAAAAAGAATGAATGATTATAGAATAAATAAACTTTTAGGTTGTCTTCTAAATCGCGATTGTTGTCTTATCCTGCAATTGAATTTTATATGTTAGGCAGAATTTTAGATTGCTTGTTCTTCGCAATCTTTTCAAACATAAATGAGCAGTATAATCCTAAACTAGACAATAATAAAACTGCAAAGTGTGTATCCATAAGCTTTGTTTAGCATTAAAATCCTTATTGAATTATGTTTTTAATATTTGAACGAATATCCAAACATGTATGCAAATTTAACGTGGTGTTTTTGATGTCAAATTTATTCGGGTTTTGAAATATAGCATTGTAAACGGCTTGTTTGGTATTCTCTCGAACGGGTTTTAGAATAAAATATTTTTATATATTTAGTAAATTAACATTGGTTAATTTCTACTTTAATGTTAACTACTGATGCCCGTGTACTTGACTGTGTATTGTTAAAAAACTTACGTTTGAAAATGTTTTTAGATTTCTTAGATAATATTAGACGATTAAAACACGAACAAAATTCAAATATTTTACATTTTTAATTACTGGCAAATGATAAAATGCGAAAATTAAACGAATGGTTACGAAAATACCTTAATTGCAGACTTAATATTATAAATAAATAATAATAATGAAATAGTGCATACGATTAATAAATATATACAATTGGAATTGTTATAAAAGTTAAATTAAATTATGTTTCTATATTTATATCAAGTACATGGTAAGAAGACAAGCGTTTAGAAATGCATATTCTCAATAAATTAAACCCAATAAGAAAATGTAAGAAATGTATCTATTTATACCATTTAACAGGACGTGTAACATTTCTCCGATTGTCCTTATAATTATTAATTTTGTAATTGTTAACATTTACAAATAATTAATTGATCATTTGTTTTGTTCAATTTACTTAAGTCAATAGCGGTTACGGATTAAATATGAACATAACTTTTAAAAACATTATCAGTACTTTTTTGTACTTTTTAACCTGTGAGCTGCACGGAAATATATTAATTAATACCCCATTTCGTATTTGTAATAAAAACATTTTCCTTTAGTTTTGAACAAAGGTCTTGAATTACAAAAATGCATTCACAAAATGATCTTAAATATACAATTTTTTACCGGCCAAGGTAAATTAATAACGCAGGTATCCTTACCTTTAAATAAAATAAAAAAACAATCCTAATAAACAATGATTAAAATTCTTACAAATTTTCTTACAATTCATTAATACATTTGTTTTAATACAAAGTAGGTAGGCATATAACTATGCAATATTACTGTACAACAGCTATGAATTTTTCCATTGCAATGAAGTAGGAAATTGCACATCTAATGTAATTATTAATTAAAATCTTTTAATGCTATCAACTATCCTTATTTAATAACAATCAAGTTAATAAAGGTCATTAAACATTAAAACTGCCAGTCAAAGAGGAAGTGACGATTTACACACCACACTGTCTGGTTATAGAGCGAAGCGAGGGAGCGTAGACAATTTATGTTGTGGTGGCAATAAAATTATAACTTAATTGTTTCTATAATTAATTTCAAGACTAATGGTAGAAACAATTAAGACGATTGTCATTCTAAGCTCGCATATTTATGTCAGAATTGTAATAAACAGACTTAATTGGTGTTAAGAATTGTTTGTAAGTAAGATAAGATAGAAAATATGAGAAAGATGGCGTTAAAATATAAGGAGTAAATGAAAAATAGTGTTTTCGTCCGTTAATTAATAATTGCACTATTAATGGATTCAAGGGTAATTATTTTATCTTTGGTTACCACGACATGTAGGTGATACTGTTATTTGATTGTTCAGCATTAGTATCAACCTACTTACTACTAATTGTCCTACAGCATCTAAGCAAATTTCAATTCTTGTAATTTACTAGTAAAGAACAAACAATTATGTCAGCATTAGTAACGAATACAAATATTGAAAGAAACTACGCGAGACAACATGGCGCATTCACCATTTGTAGTAGGTTGCTTGATTTTAACGTTAACCTTTAACGTTGATTAACTTTGGAATTACTGACGGTTTATGGACTGGACTGTTTTAAGAGATTACCATAATAAATGTTGTAA